TTATTTTGTTTTGGAAAATAATCGCGTTCGTTCGATAAAACAGACGACTTTAGGATCGCCTTAAGGCGATGCTGGAAGATCGGAATTACCGACACATTGCAGTTGTAAAGATTTCTTTGAAATGACAGAACGGAATTGAAAATCTTTTTACAGGATTGAAATAGACATAAAATGTATTTGAGGGACAAAGGAATTTGTAGTAAAAACAAAAAAAATTAAAAAATTACATTTTTTCGAATCTTACAGCTATCACTTGACGTAAATATTTCATTAGTGTAGAAGTTCTGTAGCTCATATGTACAAAATGCTTACGTCCCCCAAATCAGATTACTTGCACAAATAATACAAGATCTTTTGAGCTACGATTGAAAACCTAGGAAAAAAGAAATCCTTACGATTGCAAATTATGGTAATTCGTATGCTTAGCTAAGGTAAAAACAGCAAAAATTGCGTCTAGCAGTAAGTGCCGGATTTTGCAACAGATAGCACTTCAATAAGTTAGATGAGGATATTGCACGTGTTTGAGTGAGATAAGAGATTGTAAGAAGTTCATTTAGAGATACCACTGACACCAAAGAGTGTGTTTTATCGACCTCGTGCAAATTTTTCTGATCTTCCAGCATCGCCTTAAAGATGTTTCTAAGATATACGTGTTATCTAGGAGAAATTATGTGAAATGACAAGAAATGTTGATCGTGTTTTTTTTTCTCATAAATCTCTCTTCGTATCAGAAAAAAATGTGACATTGTGACAAATAAAAATATTGTCACGATGTAATATATACCAATATATACATCGTTGCGAATGGTATGTACATACATAGTAAAACAAAAGTGTTGTTTTGCGATACTTGAAACGAATTAACTGTATTACGAATCATTTTGAAGCTAATTTGTTAATTAAATTCTACGTTAATAACCAAACACCTTAGATTGCTACTTAGCAATTGTACGAAATTTCGTGAATAATTCCGTACATTTGCAAAATTCTCTAAAAAGAAAACTGTGCCAAATTTCTTTATAAAAGAATTAACGTAATGGAATTCGACGATATTGAAGATTTACGAGATTTCGCGACGATCTACAAAAAAGATTACCTCGGAAAGATAGGTAAAAAGCCAAGTACAACCAAGCACAAATTATCAAAATATTTGCCATCTTTGAACATCTTAAACAGACCGTACAAACAATATTTGAACACGCGATTGGAAAACCGATCACTCTCTGAGAACGAACGAAGCGAAGATCCAGTCGACAATTTAAATAGAGTAAATTGATATAAATCTTTTTATAATCATGGCTGTATATCATCGTAATTGCATATCATCGAAAACAGATACGCGACAAATTTCCCCACTTAAGAAATGCTCTGCCGGAAATCGTGCCAGATGAGAATGTGATAGAACGCGAGAAGGAGAAATCAATGAAGACTGTATATCAACTGGATTACTTGAAGGAATTTCAAAAGAGTTCGTTACTTACTTGTAATAATTATATTTACACCTATATGTGTATACTGCAAGGTACTTTAAATAGCGCCCACTAATTATAGCGTTATTCCTGATAAAAAACTATTGTAAGTCAAAAATTTCTAAACCATCTTTTCCTACAATACTCAATAAAGCGATTACTGCAGTTAATTATTGTTTCAATGAACATTGTAGGAAAAAAGATTCAGGACTTTTCGACTCAGTTTTTTTACAAGAAATCACGTTATATAATTAGTGGGCGCTATTTAAGATTCTGTATACATATATACATAATTGCATGTACCCTTTTTTTTAAGATTTTAACACTATCGCAAAATCAGAAAATTTTAAATATATTTGTATCCTTGGAAAAAACATACTACATAAGCAATACCGTTTAGTTTTGTTTACTTATTTAATCTCTCGATATTGCGACATTATATAAATGAATATTTTCGATCGCAATTAGATCATCGTCCTAGAGAAATAACGTTACCACAAAACTGGATTATTCCTGAGACAATTCAAAGACGTGCATATCGAAATCCATGGATAATCGCAACGAAAGAATTGATAAAACCGTCAAAAATTTTTAAACAGCGCAACAATTTGGATCCTAATCCTAAAGAAAGAGAAATTCTTCGTGTGACGTACGTGAAATACTCACCAATATCTATATTAATTCGAAACATAATTTAAAAATTTAAAAATACTCTTTTCTACAGAACCGGAAATTCCGAATATAATGACACAATCGGAATTACAGGAGAAAGAGTTATGCTACAAAGCCCATCAGATATGAAAGATCATATAGAATTGCAAAATTCATTAAAGAGTCCTAGTATAACTGAATCAGAATGTTCACTAATATTAAAACAAAATTTAGCTTTCTCTGCGAAAATATTCTGAATCATTCGTAAATTATGGCTTTTATAAATAAGACGTAAAATTTGCATGGAAGAAGGGGGAGGGGAAGGATTACATGCAAACTAAGGAAAATACAAATAAAATAAAATCAGAATATACAAGTTGTTAGAAAACAGAATTCATATTACGTGTATTAATTGTGTCTAATCATTACATTTTCAATTTTATTCTGTGTTTTCAGAATAAATTAATTAATTACTTGATGTATTATATAACTTTAACTATACACATCACACATTCATACCAATAATACACTAGGTCGCGACACATCGTTTGCATAATTCACATAATACACACCATTTTTTTCATATAATTATTTACATGTTCAAGTCTAGTATTATTTTACAAAATATTTTCCGACAAATATGAATACTCGATATTTTATATGTAACAGATTCGCCCACTGAAGTTTCATATTTTACCAATATTCTACAAATGTCAAAATTGTTAGCAAATTAATTATCTGATTGCTTAAACAATCAATTAATAATTATAACCTTCTGTTGCTCAACTTATCTTTCACGCATTTAAAATGTATTTACTTATCATAGTTTAATATATTTGAGATAACTTAAAACTTAAACTTTTACTTAAAGATGAATAAAATTATACAAATAACAATCTTGCAGAGCAAATATATCTTAGAAATTTATTTATGTTGTTTAGGAACTGCCGATTATAAAATTAACGTATCCTCGAATTAAAGACATATATAATTCATTAAATACACAAATATCTCGGATTAACATGATAAATTAATATGAAAAATCGATTTGATTAAATAATGGTATGCTTGGGACAAAAATTTATATGTAAATTTACAACACGATGAATTTGACCTTTTTATATTCTCATAATAAATTTTATATATGTATATATGAATATATATATATATATATAAATACAGTGTTGCATAATTCGCAAATTATCTTTCGAGGGTAGAGTGAGCAAAACGGAATCGAAAAGTTCTAAACTATTAATTTTCGCAATAAATGAGAAATTAATTAACAAAGATTTGCGAATACACAACATGCATCCGCGCGATTTGACACAGCCAGGCGTGCGGCAAGACATTGTAAAGAGCGTTTTGTGAAATAATTTTTTATACAGCGCTCTTTCACTGAATAGTGAATAATTCTTATTAACTTACCATTATTCATTGCAAAAATTATAAAAATGATATAACTTTTCAATTCAGTTTAGTTTTACTTGTTCACGAAAGGATAAACCGCAAATTATGAGACACTTTTGTACATATATGCACGCGAGTGTGTGTATGTGTGCGTGTAAAAAGAAAAAGAAACGGCTTAATTAAATCTAAAAAAATTACCCAGCACATAATATATATACAATTTAGCATTTCAGTCTCTCACTTCATATTAATAGCTATATTCTTAGCTTTATAGCTTTAACTTTATCAAATTTTATATATTATAACTAGTTAAAAACTAAAAAAAATATATTCAAATATAGAAATATTTATCTAGGCTACATTCCAAAATTGACAGTTCTGGGCATCGATCATGTAACTTTTTCTCTAGAAACGAAAACGTGAAAAGTGAAAACACTGACGCGACACACTTTTTACGATATCTTTAATAGCCCCTTGTCGATGTTTTCACTTTTCATGTTTCCGCCCTAGAGAAAAAGTTACATGAT